GTCCCCGTCTGCTTCGCCCGCTCGTCTCCCGCCAACCCGCGCCGCCGGCCACCACCCTCGGCGCGATCCGCCAAGCCGAGTGCAGACTTTGCCGCTGTGCTCAAGAAAAACGCCGCATGAGCTTCCCGATGTAGCCACATTTCCCCGGATTATTGATTTTCTCAAGAAAATCAAGCTCTTGCATTTGTCGGGAATTTGCGATTCAAGTACTGATTTCTATGTAAAATGTCGCTAGAAACACGACGGTGCCACTGCTCTCCCCTGAAATCAACCCCAAAGCTCAAAAAAGCTCTCAAAGTTGAGGCCATAATCGACGAGGCATCACGCTACCTTGAGAGTCCACCTCTTTATCAAGACGAACTCTCCATGCAAACATAGGGAGCGAATTCATTAACAGGGCTGCCACTTTGTTTTTGTTCGGGGTCTCCAAAACTGATAACCCGACAACTCTACCAATACATATGCTCCCTATTTGTGCATAGAGTTTAAGAGTGCATGGAGAGGTGGACTCTCAGGGTAGCGTGGGGTATCCCCACCATTTCTGCCTCAACTTTGAGAGCTTTTGAGCTTTGGAGTTGATCACAAACTCCTCACACGTAGGTACAAGAGCTCCATCGTGAATGTTTAGTGTGTCTACCGTACCAAGATACACCAAATAAGTAAAACGTATACGTAGGGGTCTAGCCTCTAGCCGACCCCTTTGGCCGAAACTAGAGCCAAAACCCTGAGGATTTTGTTTTAGATAAACCATTGCAATTGAAATTATCTAAAAATTTCAAAGTAGAAAATTCCCAACATTTCCAGGATATTCGTATTTTATGCGAGAAAATTTGGCGATGTTAAAATGTCCTTACGGCGTTCTTCCTTACTGTGGTAGTCACTTAGTCAGAGTCTTGAGTCAGCGACTCAGCGTGCTCTGTTGCCAGTCGTTGTTTGAAACCATTGTAGCACCATCGAGCAAATGAGACAGGCTATCTGGATCGGGAACTGAAGAAGAGACTGTCGGATTTGGGTGGATTTGAATTGGATTGCATTTTGAAAAAAGGAACCAAGAGTATTCCTATGTTCCTAGGATTGTGCAACTTATATTCTTTGCAATAAAATTATTAAAATCATGCAAAATATCAAAATCGTTTTTTCAAAAAAAAGTTGGTAATATCCGTTTGTTCGTGTGGCGTTTTTTCTTAAAACGGCAGCGCGGGTCCCCTCCAGGAACTGGCTTATTATTCCTCGCATTTTCGTGCAAAAATTGATCATAAAAAATTTTCAAATTATTTATATTTACATTTTTTTGTGTTTTCTCTTGTTTCAGATCATTCAGCCCTCACGGAGTAATTGATTCAATAAATTTGTAAACAATTCTACAAACTATGATCGTAAGTTCTTACATCAATATTTTTTCTCATTTGCTTCGATTGAAGCTCATAGATTTGCCTTATGGTGGTGAAATTAGAGCTTCGGCAATCGGCTAGTTCCATGACACCAGCGGTTTTACGAAGGGAGCTAGGAGTTATGACGTACCCTAAATGAAGTAAATCAATAGTACCCAAATCTCCAAACAAAAGTTGAAAAAGGTAAATTTACCAATGTCGGCAAGAATTAATTATTTTAAACTTTAGTTAGTCTCAACCGTCGCAGGCATGACACAAGTGGGTAAAACATTAAATCAATGATTACATCTCGTATGAGTTGCATTAAAATGCCCCACTCTTTGTGCATGGTTTGCAACGGCAGAGCTTTTTGTGCAGGTACCCTAGAAACTCCATAGGAGCTCGTTTTGCCTACCTCGTTAAAATGAAGGCGAATCCAATTCCGCGCGCACGTTACACTCTCATCCCGAAATTCCAGTCCTCTAATTGGCCGGCAAATTTTCTTGACAAAGAAATTAATCGAGCATTTTTTTTTTTCATACGAGTTTTCACTTTCTCATTGCTTTTCTCACACATGAAGAATATTTCCACCCGGAAGGTAAGACTTTGAACGTCGTTAAGACGCATTCCATTGGCGAAACATGATTGATCGCTTATCGATTTTTCTTTTATTTGAAGCTGTGGTATAAAATCGATTATTAAGGTGCTCGTTGCCAACACCCTGTTTATCGATCATCTCCCATGGGTTTACTTGGCAGATAAATCGATGCATCGCAAAGCACGTCCCGCCAATGGGCTGAAGTCTTGAGCCGCCCGCGGTTAGGGCGTCGCACAGAGGGTCGGGTCAATCAGAGAGGTCGGGTGTGAAATTTTTGAGTAAAACTGCTAATTTTGATGTTTAATTCGTCACATTTTATATTTTAAGGGGTGTTTCTTCAAGAGAATTTCACGAGGAAACCAATGGAATCACTTTTAAAATCTCTAAGTTTCGTATAAAAGGAATCATGGGCGGTTAAAGTTTCTAAATTTTGTCCGATCTCTCCTAATGACTCGATCCACTGTGCGACGGACGATGATGTTCGGCAACGTCTGACGGGGCCCGCATGGCTGGACGTCCCGGCGCGGTGTCGATTATACGCGTCGCGGTGCAGCGCGTCGGGCGTCGGGCGTCAAGCGAAATGCGTAACAAAGTGGAAGTCGAGGAACCGCTGCCGCACCTAGTTCATCATAACATTAACCGAGAAAAGAACTCTGCCTCTGCCGCTCCAGCTCTACGCGCCATAAATCCCTCCTGTCTTTCATGATGAATGTAAACCGCAACTTTCTTCTCGATTCGAGGAAAAGGCCAATGCTTTTCGGATTCCAAGGCGTCGCACGATGAAAATCTCTCTTTCCGCCAATCAAGTTGTCGGCTGTGTTGAGTGGGTGAGTCAAGTCCCAGTGGTTCACACTTCTTCACACTTGAACCGTTTATTTGAAGAAGGGCGTAAGCGTCAAAATTCAAGTTTCGAGAAAACGTGAAAAAACGTAATATCTTCGATATTTCATAGTATTCCTGTTCAAAAAAAAAATTAAAAAAAAAAAAAAAAAAAAAAAAAAAAAAAAAAAAAAAAAAAAAAATTAGTGAATGTCTTACACACCAAGACTACGGTCACGCGTTCAGTTTCGAGAAAACGTGAAAAAACGTAATATCTTCGATATTTCATAGTATTCCTGTTCAAAAAAAAAAAAAAAAAAAAAAAAAAAAAAAAATTAGTGAATGTCTTACATACCAAGACTACGGTCACTCGAGGAGGGTCGAATAAATTGGGAAAGAAATGCAAACATTTAAAATTTGGCCGAAAAGCTCTATGTTTCAAAGATATAAACGAGTCGGCCAAAATGGGAAGTCGATGCGACAATCGAGTGTTGCTTGTCCATCCAAAATAGGTGAGGTAAACATTTGATCAACATGTCTATGACTAAAGGGGTAAACCACGAAACTCCTGCAGACTTTCTGTCATGCTTTTATTTTTCTTAGGAATTCAAATCTTCGTACTTAATTTTTTAAAATCTTCCTTGTTTTTTCTTCCCTGCTAGCAGAATATTCTACTTGCATTTTAAGCCATACAGATTGTTTGTTCCTCTCTTGAAATGAGGGACTTAGAGGACATGGTGCATAAGTGGACCGAGTTCAACAGAAAGGAACCAAGCCACATCAGCTATTGCCAATTTTAACTGATCAATTAAATTTTTTACGGGAGAACGTTCGTTCGGATTTCTTTGAAAATGTTAAGTAACTTGCTTCGTACCATGGAAAATTTTCACTGAAATTTGCACGAAAATCCGCACAACCGTTTTCATGTCAAAAATTAAATTGCCCAATCAAATTTGGGAATAGCTGATGTGGCTTAGTTCCTTTCTGTTTAACGCGGTCCAAGTGTAGATTTTGCTACTGCGAGAAATACGTGTTTGGAGTTTCAAAATCACATGGATCCGGCGAAAGGAAAAGTTCAAACTGACTTTTTCATGCTTAAAAATTGGAATTTGTGAGAGAATTTTTCACAGAACATGCATCAAGACTAGTTTTACTGGAAATCATAAATATCTCATTTTTTTCAAAAACTGCACGCACGAGCCTTTTCCTCCAATCTCTTCAAATGTTACATAAAAGGGGATATTTTGAAACACCCCAAAGGAAATACGTGGTTTTGCACTTTAGTCATCGATATGTCGCGAACAGAGTAGCAACTAAATGTGTTTTGATACTCTGTTCACGATTTATATTGATCAAAAATTAGCGGGGCCGCATTTACCTACTTGCCGCCCATGGGCCGCCTGTATTTTGCCGCCCCTTCTCATTCGTTTTGAAACATCAATAAAAACCATCAATTGAGCATGCCAGAGGAGGAGGGGTGCATAAGACGCGTTTACCTACTCGTGTTGGATACATTTTTTGCGAAAGCCCTGTCAACACTACTAGCAAAATTTCACGGAACTTTGCGCGAAAGTTAAGTCCGTAAACCTATCTCTGTGTGGACAAGGTCCTTCATTAATAAGAAATGAACCCAAAAATTATGAAAGAACAAACATAGATGTGGTTTAATAATTTTAACTTCCGCCACCGCGCCACGCTGACCGTACTGTGTTTGGCGCAACGCGTGAAGTATTCATGCAGTCTTGTAGGCGCTATGCGTTTCACGCTGCTCGCTGCTGACCGCAGCGAACGCACTGTCCTTGACGCGATGCGTGAAGTATCTATGCAGGCTTGTAGGCGCTAATATGTGTTACATGCCGTCCGCCGCGCCGCGCCGAGGTTTTCTCCTTTTCATCTCAAGTTCTCGTCATCATTGCTTTCTTCGCCGCGCCGTTAGAGGCCAAATTCCGTGTTCGGTTTCTCACGCAGTCTTAACTCGACTAATTAAAGATGCTGTCTCTTGTATCACAGAAAGACAACAAAATTAGACATATACTCTCAGGAAAGGGGAGATTTTGTTGCCTTTTGTCGTTTGTGATTTTTTTTCTGAATCCGATTTTTCTTTACAGCTACATTTAAAAAAATTGCAAAATTTGCCACCATGGGCCACGGTCCAAGTGGCCACCTCCTTAATCCGACCTTGAAAATGAGATTCACTTCTCACTTTTGATTGGCAACACTTCATTCACATCGATTTCCCATTTCGATCGGATTTTTTAGATCGCGGATATATAGCTTTTGCTTTTTTACTTGCTTGCTACCCGATTTGAGCTGGTGTACAACCAGAAGCGAAGAGCGCTTTTTCTCTTTCCTTGCTGTCTATTTTTTCTCTTTTTGTCTCTGTATACGAAATTTTACCGATAGTCGGGTGCTCTTCCCAAAGCGTGTTTCTTTGTTCGGAGCGAATGAAGCGAAGTTGATTTGCGGTCACAATGGAGTCTGTTCTCAGCGGCAGCCCTCGTTGACTGCAACGCGATCGAGATAATTAAAAGCGATTTACTCGATGTGCCTCTGAAAGATCTAAAAAAGAGTGAAATAATTGTGAGGTATCGGAAGAGCTGCGCGTGATTTGGATTGATCGGCCGTTAACATAAATTGCAGAGCAAATGGCGTAGCAGACTCAGGAGCCAGGCGAATGCAGTGACCTCTGACCTCAGAGAGCCCTCAGGAACAAATTTCACATTCTAACCACGTGGATCATGCTAAACTGCTATCCAGGGGCAAGTATTATCAAAAACGTAGGAGGAAAAACGGGAAACAAGGCTGAAAAATACATATAAAAACCCGAAACGTTTCGGCCCAAAACTGAGCCATTTTTAGTCGGAAAAATAAAAAACGGTCGGTGGATTTTTATTCTTCCGACTGATAATGGCTCAGTTTTTGGCCGAAATGTCTCGGGTTTTATACGTAATGTTTAGCCTTGTTTCCCGGTTCTCACATCTGAAGTACCTCAGATGTAAGAACTCAAGTTTCAGATGTGTGATCCGAACCTTGACAGTTAGACCTAAAGTGTTCAGATGTTCAATCCGAAAACTTCAGAGATCCATATGACCTAAACTTCGGGTCCCACGCACGAGGTTTTTTTCTCCGTGTACCCAAGCAGCACAGATTCCAATAATTTTTAAAGGAGGATTTTCTAAGGATTTTTAGAGGCATTTTGAAATAGTTGAAAATGTATCTCTAACACTTGCAAGAGTACGTATTTTCAGATACTGATAAAAGTAAAACTGATTTTTGAGCAAGATTTGATCATTGTCTCGATGCTCGTTAACTTCCTGTGTAGATGAAGCTTAAAGGCCGGAACATGGCCTGTTTGACTTGTTCCGCTGTGCCGAAGGACAAGACCACTTACAAGTGCCTCTTGAGACCGGCGGTAATGATTGTGTGGTACTTCTGCCTCGCGATGTGAACTGGAGCCCATGCTGTGAAAATTGATGATCGTTCAACGAAAGATGCGAGAGGATTGGCGCCGATATTTTTGGAAGGAGGGAGAGCTCTCGGCTATATTTCTCTCGTGATTACCTGTAGCCTACAAACTACTCGCTATAAA